TTGTATAATACTGTTGTAAAAACGGTTCGTGTAAGTGCATCCGGCATTGAGTGTAATTCTGCTAAATATTACTTTGAACTCAAACTCAACTTCAAAGATTTTTTATTGTTATACGTTAATGGTATAATTATACTTTTTACGGAAACTATAGTAAATCTTAAAGAAAATTAACACCCATTTTATTATAGCAGATATTACGTACAAAACTTTTTTAGTATCCGGCAGCTATCGCGAAAGTTTTTTACTTAAGTACTTGGTACGAATAACCGAAAACTCAGAAAACTTCAATATAATTAACTTTGAAATGAACCCTCCAAATAATGGCGATACTACATGATTTCTTGTTATTTTATTAAAAAGTATGTTGGTACAAAAAAAATATTTAGTATATTGCTGTAAAAAGATTTTAAATAGATTTTTTTTCACTTTTAATCTAGAGATTTGTTAATATATATTATAACGCATCTTTTAAATTTAAAATCAATTCAATATTTTAAACTAGAGAAATAGATGCTAAGGCTTTTATTATTATACCATAATTAAAATTTAAAAAATTACTCACTACTAATCGATAGCTCAAATAGAAACATTTATATATTGGACATGTATATTTAAACATTATTTTGTTAAAATATATTTTAAAAATAAAAATTTTAACATTTCAATCTAGATTATATTTTCAAAGTAAGTCAAATTTAGATGTTTTTGTAGCTCATACTAAATAAATTTTCTTAATATTAAGATATTCGTTCATTATTTGCAGATAAAATAAATTAGATATTTTACTATATGATCTAATAGATTGATCTATACATTAAAAACGTTTGACTGGAAAATGTGTCATATTCGTAGATATTAAATTTTTAGATATATAGGTGTTTAGTAAAAAAGGAAATGAGTTTCTATTGTTCTCATTGTTTGTAACAAATGACCTGTTTCCTTACTTACTGAACACTCTTTATAAAATTGTGCCAATTTATTTGATATTTGCGTGATAAGATATTAACAATTTGAAATTCATAGTAGTAATTTGAAAAGTTTATATATGTTAATATTGTGAATATAGAATCACTATTTTATGTACGAATTTATAAAAATAATAATTTCCTTTAATAAATATTAATTAAAGACAATATAAATAATTTATTGTTGTATAATTTTGTTGAATTAAATTTCTTTTTACTTCTCTTATCATGCCTAATTTTATCAAAAATATTTAATAATTAACTTTCATTGTGCGTTATTTCATAAATTACTTAATCACTTAAATGTTTTTTTTCCTAGAATTTTCTCTTAAAAAAGGAGTCGAATGTTAACAAAAATTTATACGGTTCAAGTAGAAAAGCTAGTATAATTATATTAAATTCTATAAAATTTAATTTTCATATAAATATCTTTATAGATAAATCAGTTTAAACAACTTCTGTTTTCAGCAAATTATTTATTTATCAACAATTAATTACACAAATTATATTTTTGACTTTCATCTTATTTACTTTGCTTTATTCGGGTTAACTTTTATTTGTAAAAGGTGTTTAATTTTTAAAATGAAACAACTTTACCTGTCCAATGATCGACAAAGAAGTGATAAAAATATTAAACCGTGAAATTAAATAATTTCCTCAACTGTCAAATTATTTCAATGTGTAAAACGTTAATATACAATCGTATAAACATAAACGAAACAACCTATTTTTTTATTTAACGATTTTGCTATTGCATGTTTGTGTAAGGCAACCCTTCTTTAACGCACGATACACCTTCAATATCTGCTGACACTTTTCGTGAAATTAATTTTGACAATTTCAGAAACTAAATTATGCGCATCAGTAATTGACAATTGAGCTTCAATGGAGAATAAAGACTAGTATAAAGCTTCAATGGAATATAAAGGAAAGATAACAGTAAATGTGAAAAGTCATTAGTCGCACGCATATTGTATTTATAATGACAAGCAGTACCCGACACTATCGCAACTTTTAGACGACTGTTATGTAAAACCACACCCATTTGATCATTTAAGACATAAAATAACATTATACAATCGATATTTTTCCATGATAGTTTATATCACGTAAGTTTCACTAGACCCTCCTTTTTTGAATTTCCAGAAAAATATCTTTAATATTGATATAATATCAATATGTCAATATTATATTAATAAAATATCATTATGCCCAAAGCAATTGTGATCCATTGTAATTGACCCTTTTTAAAAAATTTTTTGTGTAAATTTGATAAAACTACAAATTATAAAAATCATATTTGATTTTTATAGAATAATGAAATTTAGTTACAAAAAAGTAACTTTTGTTTACCATTGATCCATATCAGCTAACATGGATATTATTTTGTAAAATAATAATTATTAATTATAATTAATGAAAATATTTAAAAGTGCTGTATTCGTAATTTTCTCAAATTAATATCTTAAAAAATAATAAATAATAAAAAAAAATACTTAGTTATTTAATTATTTTTATAAAAATTAATGAAATAATAAAATCAATGAAATCGTAAAAGTATAATGTTTGTCAACATTAAAGTGAATATAAAGATGACTAATCAAAATACTCTCTTCATAATTAATGTTACGTACATATTATTATACATTAAATTATATGTAATGAATGTAAATTCTATTTTGTTTCATTACATCAAATTATATTTAGATAAAATATACACACCAAAAAGATTTAAAATTTATAGTATCTTTTTTTTTTTATTAGCTTTCAATACAAAGTATTATTATAGCTTAACAATTAAATAAAATGAGAAAAGAAAAAAATAATATTAATAATAATAATAAAAAAATAGTACAATTGATCTTACATCAACAAAATTACAGTACACATCGTTAAATAAAAAAATCAGCAGAATGAATGAAAGAAATAACTAAAGATATTACATCGAGAGAAGTTGATGTAATATATAGTATCTTAAAGGACAAAAATTGTTCTTTATATTGTTACATAATTAACAATATAAACGTTAATATTATATAGTACAACACGAATCAAAGTTGATTAAAATTATTTTCTATCCTTATTGATACATCTTATAAAATGCATATTCTTAGTGATTTATTTATTAGATATTTATTAGATTTCAATAAGCTAGTTAATTATGTAACTTGTCATATAAAAAATTTAAGTTAAAAATAATACTAAAATAAATCCTATAATTTTTTTTGATTTTTGACTGTTTAGAATTTTGACATCCAATTTCCATAACACTCATTTTTAATTGAACTTATATTATTACTAATTCATGATAATTAAAAATGTCTTTTATTATACAGATCTACGTCATTAAATTCTTCTAGTTCATTAAAATTTAACATATCCCAGTCGTTTAATATTGTATAACACACGATTATTCTCGAAAATGTACTACACCACTACAAAACATATACTATAGGAATAAATACAAGTTTTTTTAATGGTCTATTATGTCTATATCTTACAATTAAATGATTATTTATTGGTACATTTTGATAAAAGACAATCTTATCTCAAATTTTGTAGATGTATTATATTGTAAACTGTTCTTGTTAAATATTTTCTAGAATTATGATACACCCGCTGAAAAAGTAAATAATATAGTTTAGATATTATTTACTTTTAATTAAAATCAGAAATCTGATCAATATTTTATAATATAGAATAACATCATTAGCAAAATAATACTAGCAGTGAACAAACACCTTTTTTACCTAAAAAATTATCTAATTTGATTGTAATAAGTTTATGTTAGTAGGTTTTATAATAAAGAAAACATCTAAATTAGACTCTACTACAGTATTACAAATTTGATACAATATCAATAACTGTTTATTTACTAAAAGTATCTAATTTCCAATACAGAATAATAAATTAAAATTTAACGTTAGTTGATTATAAATACTTTTACATTGTTATTATAGAGAATTTTCCAAATAATAAATATTTATTAGCTTTATGTTAAACTTCAATATATATTTGTTAGAGAAAAATAAAAAAATTGTGATGAAGTTTAAGAGGAATTTTGCGATTTTTACTTTAAAATCAGTTGACTTATAGAAAAAATATGATGACATTTTTTTTATTTTCATCAAAATATATTTTTCAAACACGCATAATATTTTTAAATTACATTTTATTGATAAATATTCATTAGCAAAAATGATGATCCTTAAAAGATTTAATTTTAAATAAAATAAAAAAAAACTATTAAGGATTTAAACTTTTTTTAGTAAAATTGTAATAATTATTTTTATTTATCTTACGTTACAAAAAAATAAGATGCATAAATAAATATAGAATTTTCATTATAGAAAAGCTTATGAATTACTACCAAACTTTGACAAAATGTGCAAAGCTGCCGGCTCAAAAATAAAAGTCAATCCTTAGATATAAAACTTTTGTGAATCTCTTTTTTTTATCGTTTCAAGACTTAACTCTTTTTAAAAGATACTTATATTTGATAAATATTTATAAAATATTTTTTTTTTATTTCAATACAAATTAGTGAAAACTTTCCTATTAAGCTTATAATGAGAAATGAATGACGAATTCTTTTTTTTTTATCGACTGAATTATAAACTTTGTCACACTAAAATATTATTCCCTATATTATTATGTCTAATTTTTTTTTTTTTTTCAATAAAAAATAATACTTGTCCATCACTAATTCCTACATTACAGTTTTAGTATTTAACAAATATAACCATAAATTAGTGTAAAGTACATATTATGCAATAAACAATCTCATGAATCTATAAAATTAAGCCATCAACAATGCATAATTAGGGTCATGAATTTTAATTACAGTTAATTACAGATATATTATAAAAATTAATTATTAATGACAGTAATGGTTTTTACAACTACACACCTCACCTCAACACAAAAGCGGAAGTATAAAGCTAATTATAGCTCTTAAAGTTTTAACAAAATCTAACCATGTACTTCATTAACATAGTAAAATAATTTCTCTAGTTTTCAACTTTCTTTTTTCAGCGATCATTCTATAAGTACTCGAGTAGAACGGTTAGACGAAGCAATATTGGAAGCATCAAAAACGTTAGGCGAGCCAAGCGGATTATGACAATACTTAGAGACGAGCTGCTGAGAGTGTAATATATCGCCGTCAGCGCCAATACGTGAATGCTGTCAACGCCATCACTGCCATCAAACGCATATTCTTATATAGTGTGTGTTGTAAACATGATTACAATCTGTATGGTTCGAATAACCTTCTAGTATTTGTGCAATAATATATATATATATATATACTAATGTAACAACTGCAACGAAACATGTACAGTACACAAAAACAACTTTGTTATGTTTTTTAATTGTTTTTTTTTTAATTTGTTGTGTATGTGAAGTACAACTTATACCATGCATTTAGTTTACTTGGTCTAAGATGTAAAGTTAATTGAAAAGAATTATAATTTAATATTATAGAGGTATAAATTACATTATGTTTACGAATAATATGTGAACAAATGAGCTTGCCTATTTTGTACAACTGAAATTCTACAAAATCTAACGCACATTTTCATAACACGAGTAATAATTATAGAAACATATTTGTTGCTAAATTATTACATCAAAAAATTAATTTGTTAGTCATATTGGATTGTTGAAACAATAATATTTATAGTAAAAATAAATATAAAATTATCTGTTTACCAGTAACATAGAATATGTAAATTGTATTTAGTCATTTGCAGCCGCAATCGCCAAAATTATAAAAAATGGATATCAGAATATATGCTAAATTTTAATTATGTATGTATGACAAAAATTTTCCAAAAAAAAAACAAAAAATTCCATCATTTTACTACAATAAAATAAAATGTATTAACAAATAGTTTTAATTTTTTAATTTTAATAATAGATAATCAATTTAATAATAGATTCCTATTCAACTTTCAAAAGTTCTAGCCTTATAAATAACTTAAAGAAGTTATTTATAAGACTAGTAAGGTTTTGTGTTACCTAACTTTGTTGTCACTGATTTAATATGTATTCTCTTATTATTATTTAATATTGTTAGTGAATAAATTTGGGTTAGAATTGAGTCCGGGGGAGGGATTATGACTCTTCTGTCAGCTGTCTCATTACTAAGAATTCCATTGTGATTAGGAATCCAAAATAATAACACTTCTTGAGTGTTGTATTAAAGTAAAAATTTTTTCTAGCGATGGTGTTCGGTTGAGATATATTAAGAACGCTGTTTATAGAAAGTCACAGAGTATGGCGGACTTGGATATTTTCTAGTTTGTAAGTTGGTTAAACATAATATGTTTCCATTTAAAAAATTATAATTGATATAATTTTAAAGGGGATAAATAACTTTTTTTTTTTTGTAGAAATTAATTCAGTCCTAATAAATTCTGAAAATAAATAGTATTATGTTCTATATATTTAAAAATATTGCGTGACCAATAGCATTTGACTAATTTAAAATGGGAGAATATTATCAATATAATCAACAACTACCATGACCTTTATTTTGTTGTCAATTTTTTTTTTTTTGTGAACTTACTGTGTAAGTAGTTGGAATTCTGGCCTTATTAAATATTACCATGAATACCATTTTTAAAGGACTTCTAATACTATATTAAAGTAAATTTACAAATATTGGTTCTTAAAATAATGTATTTAAAATACAAAACAATAAAATCTCCACGTAAGATCTATGGATAATTAATGTAAAGGTAGGCCTACTTTTATATTAAATATTTTAACTAAATCGTGTATAACACATACAGTTTTATTTATACATGTTATTGTCTATTAATACTATAATGTAACGAAATCAATGAAAAAAAAGCAATTTTTAGTTTAGATAACTAATTTTTATTAATAAAAATTTACCAAAGTCAGCTACCGTATTATTTTGTGTGACAGCTGATACAATAGGGAGATATATCTTTCATATCTCCTTGGCATGTACCTGTGCGTAATTCATGATTAAGCAATCCCTCAGTATACAGTATAATTGGAACATTTTTTGTTATAGGAGAAAACAATCTCTCTACATTCTGCTCTATAACTAAATTAATCCCAATTAATACACATTGCTGAAGAAAATGATACACCAATATCTATATTTTATTGATATACTTAAGATGACTTTAATAAACTTTATAAATCTAAAATGTCTCAAAATCTATACATCAAATAGTTTTTAATAATAATTTTGGGAACATATAATATTATTACTTGATTCTAAAATATATTAATAGATTCCTTATATTTAAAAAACAAGTCGTTATTAAACAATTACTTTTAAAGTTTTAAAAAAACTCAAGTTTCTAAAATTCATTTAGAATATAGACTCAAGCAATTTTAATAGAGCATTAGAGTATTAAATAATTGAATCTTATTTTGTAATATAATTTTCCTCCCGTTACTTTCCAGATCTTAAAAACGTTTAAAAGTTATTATTTTATTGTAAAAGCGAATCGTTACTTACCGTTGTGATTAAACTTCAATTTGGATTATTTATTTAATATCCTTATCGCCGTTGCAAATTCTTCAGAGCAAAAGTTAACATCACTAATGACGCTGTAATTTAACAAATAATTCAATGAAGCAGATGATATAATCTTTCCAGCGCAGCGGTAATAATTGCAATGATAGCAATAAGTAAACAACGGCAGTTATCCGAAGAACAATAAAGAGTAGGGATTTAATTTTTTTTTACTCCGGGGATTACATCGAGTACCCTAACCGTTTTATGTTGGCTTTTATTGTAAATTGTACGGGTTTCCTTTAAATGTAATAAACTTTCAATCGACATGGATGAGTGTTTCAGTAAGTGATTTCCCACGACCTAGTTATATTTGTTTTTTAACCCTTACGGGACTGATCGAAATCGAATATTCTCTGTCCAAAGACATTTGTTTTAATTCAAACTATTGCATAGTTGACCTTTTTATTCATTAAAGAGTACTGACATAATAATCACTGACCTTTTGTACATAATTCAACCTTTACCAAAACCCTTTACTCCCTTAACTTATATTAAAATAATCTTAATTATTTTATAACGATGTAAGATTGTTATGTAAAAAAATGTTCAAAAGCCATCTATTAAATTATAATTTCAAAAATACTATGATAGACCATGAAAAAGGTGGACTTAAAGAATTTTATTATTACAAATTATGATAAATTTTTTTTTTTAATGGAAAAATACAAAGGCCTACAAAAATATCACAAGTATTTAATCATCTCATTCTATTTTATTTTAATTGACAAAGCTTTCTTTTCAAAAAAAAAAAGTTGGAATAGTCTGGGAAAAATTACTTCATAACAAAAAATAGTCTGTCTCATAGCTTAATGTGTCCAGGATATTATCAAATGGAGTGGTTTACATTAAGCATGTCAAACTCCTATTACTTTCATGTTTCATAGCTTTTAGGATTTGAACAATACTTGGACTCAAAAGAACACTAAAAAAATGGTACAGAATACTCAATATTTAGTTAAGTATTATTAGTTGAGGAAGAATGGTTTAAGTTGACACTCTAAAACTTAAATTGAATGTCTTGAAGAAAGTATTTGACATATAATCTTGATAGTGGGTCAAAATACTATCAATTAGTAAAACCTTATTAATTAATATTAATTATTTAAAAAATTATTAATCAATTATTATAAAAAAAGTATTACATATTTATTAAACAATTAAAAAGAAGTCATCTCCTGCTTATTTAAGAAATTTCGGATGCATTATACAAATTTTTAATTAGTGTATCAAGTAGTTAAAAAAAAAAATTGGATAGTCAAACCAAATTTTAGGAGGGGAAATAACTCGATAACTATTAGGTTTATTTTTTTGGTAATTAAGCTAGTTTATTGTAAATAAATTATTTTATATGTAGTAATTTCATACACAAATAACGAAAAAAAAATAACATTCCCGTTTCATTTTTATTCAAAAATCTTCTATGATTCGAATAAAATTTGAAACATCAATTAATTTTTATTTATGATGTTATTTTTTATCTATTTCAATAAAAAAAAAAATGCAAAAAAAGGTTTAAGTGTGATTTTAAACAAACATGTGTTAATTTAAATTATTTTAGAAAAATTCGTTGTTGTTTGGTTAATATATTTAAAAATATTTCCTTAACAATTGTACAAACAATACTATATATTTTTAAATCCAAGAATATCATCATGCCTCGCTCTCTCCTAATAAATTATTACTTAAAAATATTATTACTAAGCATTAAAATAAAATTTCAAATGATAATTTTAATTATGGCGTACTCTTCCATGAAGTCAAAAAAAAATTTTTTTTCAAGAAAAATAAAATAAATCAATTATATCTCTAGAAAAATATTGCAACATCATTCAATGGTGATGTTTTAGTAATAGTAATACTCTAAAAAACATCTCATATAAATAGTTTGTGAAACTAAAATAATAAAATAGGCCATTATTGTGAATGTGTTAAAGCTTTCATGGATTGTCTTGTTGCTTGAAGTGCATGAGGATATATCCATGTTTGCAGTTGAGTTCTGACGTTTCGGACTCATTGCAGAGTCCATAAGTCCGAAACGTCAGAACTCAACTGCAAACATGGATATATCCTCATGCACTTCAAGCAAAAAGGCCATTATTGGTTTAAGATGGCTAAAATTATGCATGTACATTTATGATCATTAAAATCCTATTAAAATAAAATATCCATGCACATATAATAACACATCCATGCTTCATCAAACTTCACTGTATTCGGATTTTGCTGTGATATGCAACAGCTGTTGCTATTATAATCTATTTACATTATTTGTAATCGGTTGGGTTGGGTTGGGCGAACAGCCAAATACACACATATATATTTTGAATTGTATAATAAAACGTAAAGAAAACAACTTTGTGCTAAGGTTGACTAAAGAACAACTTGTAAACTTATAAATAATATATAAGGTAATTGTACAAAATTGTATTAAAGAATTTTTGTAAAAAGTAATAAACATTATGATAAAACTATATTATACATTGTTAGTAGTCTATTTCTCATGTTAAGATCATTATAATTAATTAATTGATTGATTAATGCATATACACTAATTAACTGTCGTTTGTTACTACTAAGTATATTGCAAATATTTCAGTTAAGTTTTATTCATAAAATTTGTATGAACTGGAAATAACATCAAAATAAAAAATTAATTTACGGAATATTGTCCCAAAACTTGAAAGACAATTGTTAAATCCTATGCAAATACTAATGTGATAAATTAATGATAATATTCATTCTAAATCATACAAACTACAACAAAAGATAAATTAATTTTATCTGCGCACATACGAGGGTGTAAAGGGAGGCTAAGGGATATAAAGGGACACTTATAAACTTCAACTTATAAAGCAACTTTTATTTTAAAGTGATCATCTTACTTTTCTAAGATAATTTTAAATTTAACTCATTAACTCGCCATCTACAGAACCCCTAAATTTTGAAGGCCTTACCAAAAAACTAATAAATCTTGATAAAATGTTTACTTTCTTAATTTTTACAACAAATTATTTATAATAGATACAAATTGATTTTTAAATACTTTTAACTACAAAGAGATACTATGATTTTATTTAAGTTCAATAACAGTTGATATGAGATGAACTCTATCGTATATTAAAACAAATCCAAAAATTTTATATATGAAAAAGTTGTTTGAAATGTATAATTACATTCTTATATAGATAATCAGTAATAAAAACTATACTTAATGTAGAGTAGTCAACATAAAGTAGTATATCTGTCATTACGTATGTCGAATCAATTTTCGATATTTTAACGAAAACACATTTTCATTTTATAATAAATTAAAAACAGCTTTACATTTTACTATTATTTTTCACTACATTAAGAAACTTTACTATAGTGGAAGATAACAGTGAAGTACTTGTTAAGTGTAATAAAATGAATAATACAATATACATTTTTTTAAACTCAAGATTCCTTAATGTATACAGTTTTATCAAATCAAAATTGTTTAAAAAAAGGTAGCACAGTGTACATGTGGCATAGTTAGGAAAAGGATAGGTGATATCTGACAGTGATTAAAATAACACCTGTGCAGTTTATACTAATTTCTTAAAATCACTTTCAAATAATTTTAATGTAAAACATCAATTTAATAAAAAATTTTAATTTTCCAATTTTTACACAAAAATCATATTTTTTTCTTTAACTTTGATGTATGATTTTACGACACCAAATAATACTAAATTACCTTAAGTATCTTTAAAAATATTTGTTATGATTTATCCATTTTTCATTAACTTCATAGGTCGAAAATAATTTTTGAAATAAAAAATGTGTATATAATCGCAAAAATAATAATCAAAATGTAAGGTAGGTACACAACCGATATTGTTATCGCCTATAACACGACGGAAATACTCCCAACAATGGACACTTACATTAATAATCATTTACTTTTCACACTACGATAATGTGTATTATGTAAGAAACGTAAAATTGCCTATATTCGACTCCTGAAAAATGATCGGTACCCAGACACCTTAACATTTTTTAATATAGAGTGAGAAAGACCACAGCACAGTAATGATAAAAATAAAATAACCCACACTTCACTTCGACTTTATATTTAATAATAATTATAACTTACGAAATAATGTATCAAAAGTTGTCATCAAACAGTTATTTCTTTAATTAGATAATTTTTTATTTTATAGCTAGTTAAAGTGTATAACATAAATTTAAATTTAACAAATGTTTGAAGCTCGAAGTATTTCCCAAACATATTTAAAACTAAAGTTGAAAGGATTAAATTTTTATGTAAAACTTGCTATTTTAAATTCCTTCTTGTGGCAGGTTAATGGTCTGATTTCACAAAAAATATAACCTAAAAGAGGAAATGCCTAAGATATTAATATAAAATAAAATATATTGATTCGTTCATTTCTAAAAATGTTATGACAGTTAAAAAAAAAAAAAAGTTTTCTTATTTAATGAACATTCTATATATATATATATAGGTGTAGGTGTTCAGTAAGTATAGTGAGTATGCAGTAAGAATAGATGCAACTCGTACTGGTGTAATTACTTACTTACTAACTCTACCCGTGTTTCATGCCCATTCTGTGTATTAAAATGCTTCTAACTAAATGAATATTTTTCCTAAAATTATTATCAATCCAACAATAGTATTCTTGTAGAAAAAAGGATCCAAAAATGTCTATTTTAAAATTTTGAAAAAAAAAATGTAAGTGATAATTAATTAATAATATGCTATAAACGTAGTCTAAGGAGATAATTATTACTAAAAAAAATTATTTCAACAAAATGTTCATTATTTCAGAATTTATGAGCATTGTTAGTTAGGTCTGAGACGTTGTATATAAAGTAGTGATGGGCATTTTCGAATATTTTAAACTATCGAATAACTTATTCGAATTGTTTTTATACATCGAATAGTTTATTTTTAGCATAGACTATCGAATAGTTTAAAAACTATTTGAATGGGCTACCGAATGGTTTCAAAAAATATTCGATTAGTTCTACCTAAATTTTTTATTCAATACACTTAATTATTATAAGAAGATAATTAAC